ATCTATGTTGCATTGCATTATTAATTAAAAATTTCCCAATTACATTTTAGTATGGTTCTGGCCTTACTTGGAAGTTTGACAGAGGCCATCAGCCTGCAAGTTTTGATGGGGTACAGGATCAGTTTGACACCTCTTGACTGGGTGACTGCTGAGTTCCCTTCCCACTATGAAATTCCGTGGTTGCTCTAATTATTTCCACACATTGTCTGCTGGCCATTTAGGGTTTGCTTCTACCATGTTTCACTCACTTGTGCTATCTGAGGGTGATGAAAAGGCCAAAGACATCTTTATGGTACAGTGACTGACCATTATGAGTCCTGCCCTTTGCTGGGCAGTGAGTGAGACATGGAGGTAGTTAAGGAGAGAGAAGGAACTGCTGCCGAAAATACTTGAGATTCCTCCTATAGTTAATGTATAACATGCTTCTTTCAAAAGAAAACAAAAACAAACCAAAGCAAAACACAAAAATCACTGAAGCAAATATACCATTTGCCCTTGTCCAGTCCCATGGTTATTGAATATTACTGGATGTTACTCAACAATCACATCCTCCAGTCCTTTCAGTGCCCCCAGGTTGTAGTTCATCTAGGTCAGGTGACATAAATTTAAATTCCCCCCTCAGCATGCCCTGGAGACTAACTTTAACCTGATTTTTCTGGGAAGTGGCATTCTTGTGTATGTATAGGCCTTGGAAATGGACAAATTCTACAAATCAAGGCTCAATTTATCTTTTAATTTATTGTTTAGACTTAAGAAAGTGATGGAGAAAATGTTAATAATGCAGATTAAACACTAAAATATGTTACTAAACATTTACTAGCACACTCCTGAAGGACAGGGAAGGAGAAGGTTCAGTGGGATTTGCCTGAAACAGGTCCTTTCATTCTTTCTTAGATGAAAAATAGCTTTAATTCAAAGGAGTTAGAGCTGAAAGGATCTTAGAGATCAATTAATGCTTTCCCCTTTTTCAACAGATGAAAAAACTGAGGGGCAAAGAGGTTAAGTGATTTACCCAAGGTCACAGAGGTAATAAATAGGAGAGTCCTGACTTCAGATACCGGTCTTCTGACTCCAAATCCATGGTTTTCTGCAGCAAGCCATATGGGCCTTTTAGGGTTGGTCTGTCTCACTTTTATTGTCTTACTTAGACGAATAAAAAGAGTGTTGGGAATTTCAGGTTAAAAAAAAGAAGGGTCGGTGGTACCATAGTAAGGGAGATATTTGGAGCAAAGCAATTTGCAAAGGGATATATTTGATTATAGTAATATTTTAGATTAGGAACAATCCACAGCTTGTAGATCAAAAAAGGTAGTTTTTTTTTTAAAGGATGGGGCTGGGATCTATGATTTCATTCACGTAGAAAACTTTTGGGTGAGGAAGCCTATTGACCAATGGAGTTCGGCACCCTCTCTGTAATTTATAGCTTTTTTTCACACCGAAGTGGTGGTGTCAAACTCGCATTGAAACTAGAGTCACTAATTCATACATAAAGATCCCTATGGACTTCATATTGACTGTTTAAAAATGCATTATTATCTATGTTTCATTGTATTTTTATTTATTTTGTTAAATATTTCCCAATTTCATTTTAATCTGATTCCAATTGTACTGTAGTTTGATATTTCTGGACTAGAGTGGTAAAAGGTTAAATGATTTGCCAAGAGATATACAGCAATTCTGAAAGCACAGGGAAGGCTAGACCTACCTCAGGTCTTCCTGGTTTTGAGCCTGCTCTCTATACACTAAACAATACTGCCTTTCATAATACATATCAAATGCTTAGCAACTCTTTAAGACATGATGCAAATTTAACACATTAAATTTCAGCTGCAAAATGAGTAAACTTTGTGTTATATCATATTGATGGTCACTTCTGGAGAAGCCTTAATCAAAATGTTGAGCTTAAATGCAAGACTGGCTTTGATTGGGTGGCTTGAGGAAAGATATTTAACCTAGTCATCATAAAGAAAGGATTCACCATTATTATCCAACTTTATTTCAACACCTGTATTCTTAGTAGTGTACCTGGAAAGTTAAGTACTTACCTACATTTCAAATGGTCAGTGATTTGGCTGAAAAACTATATTTAACACTTGTGTTTCAGAAGAACGAATTCCTTCCACAGCAGAAGTGATATCTTTATTGCTTCTATCTATAATTCTTTTTTTCCCCTGTAATTATTCATAGTCCTCAGTTATAAAGTAAGTATAATAAGACTTACACTTCTTGCTTCACAGGAACTTGGTAAGTAAAGAGCTTTGAAAATGGTAATAATAACTCATAATACTAGGCACAGAACAGGTAGTCCCAAGTACTTATGGAAATAAATAGAGAAGGCTATGAATTAAATTATGACAAATCTTGTTTATTTTCAAACTCATGTAATCTTTGCTATAGACTTAAGATCTTTTGTTGTTTTCTTTTTTCTTTGGAGGGGAAAAACAAAAAAAAATTTCTCTTTTTGTTTTTCACTCAGTCCCTTTCTTCTCTCTCTTATTCTCTCTATCCCCACTGACTTTGACCAGAATTTACAGATGCCAAATTTCTGAAGGCAATAATACGCAAGACTGATATGATTTAAAAGAGGGCAAGACTGTTATTGGGGATGAGAAATTTGGTTATTTCCATTGCATAAAACAAAAACTGAAGAAAGCCAAGTGATCTGGGGTAGATGTCAACATATTCTGTGAATGGACTTTTTTTTTTTTTGCTTTTTCTGACAGTGTTTTCTTATAGTTAGTACAGAGCAATCAGTGACTTGGCCTGTGATCTTTATCTATAAAATCAGACTATTTTTTTGCTCAGTGAATTGTGGTTGAGAAGTTGTCTAAAAATTAAATTTGATTTCTTTCAGAGGGTCATTTATAAAAGCTTGATGTCATTACCATCATTATGATTATTAATTATGAAATTAATAAATATCAGAACAAGCATGATAAAACATTATAATTCTTTTGTTAGTCCCCTTGGAATGATTTTTTTGGGGGGGTTGGGCAATAGGGTTAAGTGACTTGCCCAAGGTCATACAGCTAGTAAGTGCTATGTGTCTGAGGCCAGATTTGAACTCAGGTCGAATTCAGAGCTGGTGCTCTGTCCACTGAGCCACCTAGCTGCCCCCTGGAATGATTTTCTTTAGAAAAATAATCAGGGAGATCTTCTTTGTGCTACTAATTAATTGATCATGCTAGTAAATCATTTAAAATTGTATTGAAAAATAGTGTAACATTAATTATCAAATGAATTTACTTACAGGGCTAACCCTCAACATTAAGGAAATCATGTGAAATGACTCAAGTAGACCAAATTTTACAAAAAAAAAAGTTGAATCATTTAATATAATTTATTATATTATTATAACATTAGTTTTATATAACATTAATTTAATATGATAATTAACATTATAATAACATTAATAACCTTAATTTAATATGATATAGAAGCGACAAAATATACATTTAATCAACTTCCTAAAGCTCATTTAAAAATAGAGATCTGTTGTTTCAAAGACTTGGGCTTTTTCTGTCCTCTAGAAATTTTTGAAAAAAACCCCCAAAACCCAAAACAAAACAAATAAAAAGCAATCCACAAACTCCTATATGCACATTATGTAGAAAGGCATGTTTTCCTCACTTGGTTATTTTGAAGGACAGGAAGGAATAATGCTTCTCATTGCAGATGCTGGTCTCCAATCTAATCTTTCAATTAGAATGTCCATATTTTGAAATTGAGAGCTCATAGACATCTTACTCTGGAGCTATACTAGTTAGGAAGCATAAGCAGGCATTTGGTCTGAGCTCTGATCATTCAAATACTGAGAGTAATTTTGGGCAAAGAAATTTACTACGAGATTATTCTGACAATGAAATAAGGGCACTATTAAATGAGTTAGTAATATGGGCAAATTCTGCCGTTGAATAAAAAAAAAGTTGAACCTAATAGAGATCCCAGTTATAGGATTCAAGGTTCTACCAACAGGTCCCTCCAGTGCCTCAATGACCTCTTATATCCAGTCTCATCCTCTCTGCTTATTGCAGACAAATCTACTTACTTACCCTCTTCAGTACCTACTTCCTCTGCCAAGGCCTGTCTTACTCTTAGCATTCTTAGCATGTCTTTGACTTCACATAGTATTCAGTGCTCACTTCCCCATTAAACTCTTTCTGATCTGAATCACTCCAGCTACCCCTCATTCCTACTATATATCTCTGTACGCCTGCGATATTCCACATACACATTTGAAGGGTTCCTGTTCCTTGTTTTTCCTACTCTATATTTGCCCTGTTGCCATTCATTTGAAATCTCTTGTAGGGCAGTCACTCCTGTCTTTCTGCTTCCCTTGCAACTCCCCACAACATTAGCATTTAATATGAGCTTGACATAATAATGTTTTATAAGTATTGATCATTTGACTGACATAACACCTTAGTAACTTTTCTATAGCAACAGAAAAGGAACAAAGTACTCTACTTGGAGAAGACTCAATAATTCAGAAAACTATGCAAAAACTATGCACATTTATTACACTCCTATAATATGAAAAGCTCTGTTATATATCAAGTGAAATATATACTTAATTTTTGTTAGTCTCCTGAAGCATGCTGTATAGACCATTACATTTTTGAAATGGATTAAAGGATGGAGAGTGTCCATGCTGAGTAAGAGGGACTCCGCTAACTTCATGTCTTTCTAGACATTCAATAAATGTTTGTTGAATGAAATTGATTCTGTTCATAGTCTTCTATGATGTCAGAGTATCATTCTTGGAACAGGGTTGGTTTTTTGTTTTTACTTTTGTTTTTTTCTTTTTTTCCCCCACTCCTCAGAAGGAAAATCAGATATTGCATATGGTGTTCTTTGGCAGGTTGTCTTGATGCATAGGATCCAAAATGCTTTGAATAATAATGCTTTAAAAAGTCACCAGAATGTTCATTCTTTCATTCAGATAAATACTGTAGCTTTCTAGCAACATCTCTTCATATACAAACTGTCGGGTTCTCATCTCAGGGTGATAAAAAAAAAAACTCAAAGAGTTACCCAGAAGGAAATCTAAGGCAATTGTTATGAGGTCCTCATAGTGACCCTTAGAATATTTGTTCTTGGTGGAAATTAAAATCAGCTGTTCTTGACAAACCTTTGTAACATCAACATAGGACCACCAGTAAGTTATCCCGGAATTCAATAGGTGGCTTCAATCAGAAACTTACATTTCACTTTTTTTTCCCAGTCAAATGTTTTACCAAATCAAAGATTTTAAAAGAAGTTACAAAACAAACATCTTCCATGGAAGTCTTCTCCTGTTTCCATTGGAGTCTAGTTTTCTTGCAGAGAAAATCCTCCATTCTGCACACAATTGGATGGCTCAGACTCTATTCTATTTTTGTTGTTCTCTGCAAATTCCGCCCTAGTTTTGCCAGACCGTTTCTTGTAAAAGAGGTAGACTAGAAAAAAAAAAAAACACATACACACATTCAAGATAACTAATATAATAAAAAAGACAGTCCCTACTCTCAAGGAACATGCATTCTGATGGATGAAGACAACATATTAAAGTAGAGCTGGAAAGGATGGGAGGGGACTGTTGGTGAGGAGATAGAGAAGTTTGGAGAGTGAGGCATGAAACCCAGAGTGAAGTGAGCATGGCCTGGACATCTCGTGAAATAATAGGAAGGGAAGGGAACAAACATTTATTATGTATCTACTATGTACTAGGCACTGTAGTGCTAACTACAATGCTAACTAGGTGCTGTTATTATTCTCATTTTATTGTTGAAGAAAACCAAGGCAAACAAAGGTTAAATGATTTGCTCAGGATCACACAGCTAGTATGGTATCTGGGGCTAGATTTGAGTTCAGGTCTTCCTGACTCCTGGAGAAGGAAATGGCAAACTACTCCAGTTTCTTTGCCATGAAAACCACATAGACAGTATTGACATGCTATGGTTCATGGGGTCATGACGAGTCAGACATGACTGAATGGCAGACTGACTGGAGTTCCTGACTCCAGTCTGTTTTCAGTGTCCACTGTATCACCTATCTTCCTTGACAGTGGCATCAGAATAGAACTATATAAACTTCTGGCATTCAAATCCCAATATAACTTGATTAATGAACTTCATTTTGGACATATTGAGTGAGAGATGCCCATGGGGCATGCAGAAGGAAATGTTGAGCAGGTATTTAGTGATAAGCCACTGGAGCTCTGGTGAAAGATTGGGGCTGAGTATATATCCCCAAAGATTTGGAAGTCATCTACATAAATATGATAATTAAGTCCATAGGGGTAATAAGATCACCAAAAGAGTAGGTATAGAGAGAGAGGGGGGGAAAAAGACTTATGGTCAGAAAAAAAAACTTCCCAACAATTAGAGCTACAAGTGATAACATTTGCCATTGGAGGTCATCAAGTAAAGATGTGATGACCATTTTGGCCAATGACATTTTAGAGGGTGGTTGAACAGGCACAGGATGGACTAGATGAACTCTGAAGTCTGTTCCAACATTTATTGAGCCATATGTGGAAATTCACAGATGTGGGAAGAGCATGTATTCCCTCAGTCTTCTCCACTCCCAGCATCCTCGGTTCCTTTAGCTGATCCTCATACTGCATATTCTGTAGTGTATTCTGTTCACCACACCAATTGCCCTCCTTGGGACCTGCTTGGGTCTGTTACTGTCTGTCCCAAAATGTGTTGCTCAGACACGAACACAGTATCCTAGACCAGTGAAAGGTACTGGCAGACTATTTTTTTTTTAAACTGGGGGACTATCAAGTTCCTTACTATGGACCGTGTGTCTTTCTTAACAAGTTAGCTCTTTTTGGTTTTGGAGTATTGACTCATTTTGGGCTTGTCCACTAAAATCCTGTTTGCTGAGATTACCCAGTTAGTAAATGATAGAGCCAGAAACTGAACTTGGGTTTTCAGATTTCCTATCCACAGCTAGGTGGCACAGTGGATAAAGAGCTGGGTCTGGAGTCAGGAAGACTGGAAATGCAAATCCTGCCTTAGATATTAGCTATTTGACCCAGGGCAAATCACTTTACTTCTGCCTCAGTTTTCTCAACTGTAAACTGGGCTTAATAATAGTACTTACCTTTAAAGGTTGTTGTGAGGATCAAATAAAATAATGTTTATTAAGCGCATGATACCTGGCACATAATAAATGTGTAATAAATGTGTGTTTCCTTCCATCTTTCTTTCCACTAGAGTAAATCTCTTCCTTCAATGAAAACTACAGACTAATAAATGTGAAATTTGGAAAAATAGACCTATGTTCCAATGAGATTGTATACTGAGAGAATTAGAGCCTAGAGGGCAGATCATGGTGTGATTAGAACCTACCGACAAAGAGAAGATACACTGGATCCAAGGCTTCCTTTGTTTGTTTTTTGAAAGCAGTCATAGCTCGAGGCCTTAAAGTGCTTTTCATAGCCTAACATCTGCACTATTATTGTCTTTCACCTTTTCTGAATCCCCCATTGAAATGTTAAGAAGCTTTTAACATTCCTACTGTTTCTTTAATAGAAAAATGAAATTTTAAAAGATATGAAAGTGAAGAAAAAAAAATCAGTCTTTGGAAAATGAGGAGGAAAAAACCAAGTTGTTTGGGTTAAAGCCAGTTGGGGTGGAAATGACAGAAGATAAAAATAACATACCTAACCTTTTTATCCACCTAAATATGCCAAGGGGTAATGGAAAATCAGGGGAAGGTTCTGAATTTATTCAGGTAAAACACACGCTGTGGGCTGAATTGGCTCTGTATACCTGAATTTCAGGGGAATGTGAGACTTTTGTCCAATTATTTTGATCTTCTTCAATCTGCATTTGTAGACACAGCCTTAGTTTCCTGGTAAATTATCCTTGACATACCTAGACAATTATTTATTATTTATTTATCCGTTAAATCTTGGATTTAACAGAACGCTCAGTCAAATTCTCTTTACTTAGATGACTGCTCACGTAACATCTAGGAACAGCACGACTTCCCTAAACACTTAGAAGAGGATGTGCACAATTCTTACTGGAACCCATTGCTGAACTTGGAAACTTTTCATCTGCAGTTGGGCAATTATAATAATATTATGGGCTGCTCCTCCCACCCACTGTGTTTATTTGCAAAACTAACTGCCAAAAGCCAAGGAATGGATGAAGTTCATTTTAGCAATTCCAAGATTTTGGAAAGAAGAGCATCAGAATGTAGTATGATTGATATTGCTTACTTCCCACGAATATTGCTGCCATCACAAGTTGGAAAATGCTATATATTAGTGGAAAGGTAAACATCTCATTAAGCTCTTCTTGGGAGAAGGACAGTTGTACTATCGTTGAACACAGCTGAGCGTTCTGCATTCCTGTTTCCAAAGACACTGTACGACATCTAAAGGTAAATGAAAAGGAAGTTCAGAAAGTACTTTAGTTTTTCAAAATGCTACGAAATATATATCATGCACACATACACACATAAATGTATGTGAATCTAAGAAAACACAACCATCTATATATTTATAAATTTATATTTACCAGACCTATGATTCCATTAGTGAAGGGAACTCTGAGTGAGGAATCCCTTTTTACCACTCTGCAACTTATAGTCTTAGAGAGTTGACTGGGGCACTGAAAGGATAAATTATTTGCTCATAGGCACACAACTAGTCTATGTCAGAGGTAGAATCTGAACCCAGGTCTTTCTGATTCCAAGGCTGTTCCTTGCTCCATTATGTGACATTCTTTCTGGGAGGACTATACATATGGATGCTCATTTCTACAGGCATTTCCATGTGGCATAGACATCATTTTGTCTTTCTCAGTTACATCCTCAATGTGGAGGGCACATAAGTGCTCAATACAGACATGTCAATCGACTGATGTTGTCATTCTTTTGATATTAAATTGAATTTGTCAATTTTGGGTACTGGACTGATAGATGTGAAGACTGACGGGGGCTACCTTTTTTGTTCTTTGTTGTTTCTAAATCTTTATTCTGTTGCTAAAGAATGGAGAAAGTCTGTCTTAAGGTTTTCTACTCACTTCTCTGTGGTGCAGTGGATAGAATGTTTCACCTAGAGTCAGGAAGATCTGAGTTCAAATTCTGACACGGAGACTTAATAGCTATGTGACCCTGGGAGAGTCACTTAACCTCTGTCTGCCTCAGCTTCCTCAACTGTAAAATGGGGGGAATAATAACCCACCTACCTCCCAAGGTGGCTAATGAAATGAAATATTTGTAAAGCACTTTGCAAGTCTTAAAGCACTATTAAAATGCTTTATTTGGTTATTATTATTTTATTATTAATCTGTTTCTACTTTGTCTTCCAACCTTGACTATCCACCAACTCTGAAAGCTTTTTTCTCCTACTCCTAGTTTAGACAGAGGAGTACTAGAAGAAATACCTCTTCCTCCTTGTGAGCAAGCATTAGACCCACAAATGTCACCCTGAGTTCTAATATTCAGGATCTTTTAATGATGATACTTCTATGAACTCCTGTTGGCTGGAAGAGCCTTTATTATAGTGTTCTATTAATTGGCTTTTTGTCAGGCCCTTAGCTGGAAAGTCAGGATTCATAGACATGTAAGAGTGTCACTTTGCACAGTGTGTTAAATGATCCAAAAGAAAAGGAGCCCAAACAGAATGAGTCAGTATTTCTTTTCTTTGTCATTTACATATTTAGCTATAATCAATGGAAGCATATGATTTTTTTTCCCTTGGCATAGTGTGTTGAGAGGAGAAATCATTATATTTTGAACTATAGACTAATTTTGGGAGTTATCTCCAAGAAATATGTACCAAATTGAACGTACCTTTGCCAGGACAGACCAGCTATCCGAGCTAGGATGAAGCCCAGTAGATAACCAAAGAAAGGAAACAATGCTCCTATAATCCACAATTTAGGATGAATAATCCAGGCACCCTCATACAATACGCCTCCAATCACTGCTGTGATCACTATGAGAATTACACCTGAAATGGAACCGACCTGGAAAAAAAAAGACTTAGAATGCACTATATGAAAAGCATTTAATCAATCCAAATAATCAAATTCAAATATGTAATTTGTCAAAATAAAAGTCAAGGAGATAAATCCTTTGTAGTTTTTTCTAGAAGCAGAGCGGTGTAATAAAAAGTAGGGAAGATTCCTGGACTTAGAAATAGGGGTTCTGGCACTGAGTCTTAGCTCTTTTCTCTAACAAACAAGTCACTTTACCTCACTGAAACTCATTTTCCCGATCTGTAAAATGGGGATGATAACAGTTGTGCAGCCTACCTTTAAATCTTGAAGTATTTTAACAAATGTTGAAGAGACTCCAGTAGGATAAGAAAATCAAATATAGAACTTGTATGTATAAGTTCCAGAAGTTTCAAATTCAATGTCTTTGGGAAGAAGAAATGTTGCTGGCATGACAATGAAAATTAAACATGATCATGTAGACACAGTGCTTTGTAAGCTTCAAAGTAGTATTCCAACATAAACTTCTGTTTCAGAGGGCAACAGAAATTAAGCCAAGACCTCAAGATTCTAGTCCTGAACAACTGCAATTCTCCCCCTATCTTTAGAGGTGTTAAAAAAAGTCACTTTCTTGCATAGTGCCATTCAAGATTCTGAAGTTAGTTCCATGTTTCCATGAGAGAAATAGTGAGTGGACTGATATATTAAATAGAGATTGGACTAGAGCTTGAGACTTTGTGATCATAGATATAAACAGTTCATTTACAATCAGTCTGGATATAATCACTCAGTTTGTGTATTGTAGCTTCTCTTTTTTTCCCCCTCATCTCTGCTGTTCCACGATTTTGGTGTCACACCATTCTATTCTTGCATCACTTCTCTTTCACCTTTGCCAAAGAACTCTGCTAGGTCTTCTCTGTTTGCAGATGATAACTATGCTATCCAAAGGATCATGGATTCATAGGATCTAGATCTGAAGCAGACATTAAAAACCATCTAATCCAACTCCTTTGTATGGAAATGGAGGTCCAGAGAAGTTAAGTCTGATATCACACAGATAATAAGGAGGCAGAGTCAGGATTTGAATCAACTCCTGTGACTCTAGGCCCAAAGCTCTGTCCCTTATCATACTATTTCCTTCTTTCATCTTGCTTCCCTGTATTGTTCTTAAACTAGATTGGAAAAACTGGAGAAACACTAGTAGTATTCCAATGCAGCTGAGGGCAGGGCATACATCCTATTGAATAGGTCATATGATTGGGAATATTAATTAATGCTAACCTCAATATCATAAAAATACAGAGTTGGAAGGGATCTCAGAGACAATCTAGCCTAACCATGGTTCAAAGGAAAAATACTTTCTATCATCTGGATGAGCTTTCATCCAACTTTGGTTTGAAGATCTGTAGCAACAGAAAGCTCATTAACTCCTGAAGAAACTCAACTGACTTTAGGACATTGTTAGGAACTCTTGCCATGTATTGAGTATTTCCTTAAAAAAAAGGAAAGACATATTTAAGTTTTTCCTAAAGACTTCAGAAGATATCAAACATTAAAGGATTTGTGGAAATCATAGTGGATTAAATGTAAGAAATATGGGTTCTAATCTTGATTCCACCACTCCCTAGCTATGCAACTTTTCCAAAGTTTTTAACCTCTGTAAAATTTAAGTTTCTTCCTGTAAATAATCCTGTAAAACAGGATTATAATACTTGCATTATGAGAGTAAAATAAAATGATGTGTGAGAAAGTGTTTTGAAAACTATAAAGGTCTGTAGGGGATTTTTATTGTTTTGATTTTTATTGTTATCTATGTTTTACAAGGATTTAATGGATATTAGGAAGTTGATTGGAGAAGAATTTTCCATAGCCCATTTTGTCAATCACTTCCTTTTCTAACCCTACCTGTTGCCCTTATATACTTCAATGGCTGAGATTTTACTTCCAATTTCCCAGAGAGTGGGAAGCACAATAAAATATCAAACACTTTTCGTGTTCACATTTCATGTGAAATTCCTTTATTTTCATGAAGGATATTGGATTTGTAGTCTAAGGAGAATAAAATGCCAGGCACCATTTTGCACATCGGAGCACAGCTTCCTCACCTATAGTTATGGAAATGTAGTTTGGTTGTGTTGATGGAAAAATAGTGTGCATTGAAATGCAGCCTGGGAAGCTTCTAGATCCCTCCCATGAGAAAAACATATAACATGATAAAAGATATTTTAGTGGTACTAAAGAAAAAAAAATGTCTCTCATGATGTCTGGTCATTTGTCTGTGTAGGGAATGCTACATAGGACTCTTACCTTAAGGATGATCTTGGCTTGGTCTGGCCATTTGTTTTTGACAACTATTCCCACAGAAATGGGAATGAGGAGAGCAGCTAAAGAAATACCTAGAAATAACAAAAAAGGGAAACTTTGTTGAGAGCAAAGACAGCAAAGAAAGAAAAAGATACAAAAGGAAGAACATCTTGAAAGTACTTAGGAGACTCTCTTTGGTCCCTCTCCTCTATAGCTAAGGTCCTCTCCAGTTATAAATCTATGATTCTTTGAATGATATCAGTGGTAATGTGGAGTCATAGACAGAAAGCTTTATTCTGAATCAGGAAGAACCAAATCTTCCCTTTAGCACATACTAAATGTGTGAACTAGATGGCACAATGGATAGAGAGCTGGTTCTGGAGTCAGAAAGATTTGGGTTCAAATTTGACCTCACATACTTACTAGCAGTGTGGCCCCAGACAATTCATTTAATATCTATCTGCCTCAATTTCCTTATAAAATGGGATAATAACAGTACCTATCTCCCAGAATTGTTGGGAGGATAAAATGATATAATATTTTTAAAGGGCTTTGCGTTTTATAAAGTCTTCTAATACTCCTGCTACTGCTACTGCTACTACTGCTATGACTACTAGGACTACTACTACTACTACTACTACTGCCTTGGGGAAGTCACTAAACCACTTTATATCCCTGGCATTAAAAGAATTAAATAAGTAATGTTGGGGATATAAATATTCTCCCTATAGACATTTTATACAATTACCAAATTTCTTTTCTATATTTTAATATCACTGTTCCTTAGTGCTGCCTTTGGTCTAAGTTCAGTTATACAAATGCTTTTTAGCTGGCCCTTAACATTTCTAAAGAAGAGGGAAGTAGGAGTTCCTTTTGATTCAGAACTTAGTTTCCTAGAATGAAAAATCATAGGATCATTTATTTAAATCTGGAAGGGATGTTGGAGGCCTTTCCATCCCCTTTTACAGATGAGGAATCTGAGACATGGAGAGGTTAAGGGACCTCCCCAGCATCATACAAATAGTCTGAGGCAGGAATTAATTCTGGTTCTTTGTGACTCCAAGTCCAGGGTCCTCTTCCGTGGACTGTGCTATTTTCCTTTTTTCTTTGTTTTTAGGAGTTTGAGCTAACATCTGATGTGGAATGAAGGCCTTATGCCTGGAAGTGGAGAAATGAACGTATGCAAAATTAGCCAAAGTTTATAAGGCATTCTGAAGACCTTCACATGCTAATGACTTCCGGGGCATCACCGACTCAGCTTTATTCAAATCCATGGCCTCGAGGTGATAGACTAGAAGGGAAATTATGCTTTAATTTTTTCTTGAGATAATCTATCTGGCAACCTCTCAAGTAATTACAATTCTTTGCAGATGTGCTCACCCAGCCAGATAACAGACGTATACTTCAATTTCACTGTGTTCAATTTACTGCTGTTCCTGTGACATATGTTTTGTTTCCCCATATTATTCAATAGCCATTTGTCCAGTCGATGCTTCCATTATAGCAGCCACAGCATCTTGGATTCACACTTTCCTTCCTTCTCCTTCCCACCCCCACTCTCCTCTTTTTCCTCTCTATCCTTCCCTCACATGTTCTCTCTCCTCTCATTCTCTATTTTTCTTTATTCTTTTTTTCTTATCTCTTTTTCCTCTATTCCTCTCAATCATTTTCTTTTCTCTTTCTTCTCTTATTCTCTCCTTTATCTTCTCTTTCTTTCCCTTTTCCTCTCCTTCCCTTCTTCCTCTCTCTCCTCTTTTTTTCTTCTGGTGTTCAATTTCCTTTAAACATTTTAAAGACTCTGAGATATAATAATGAAATAACAGAGAATTCATGGCTACTAGTGAAGTAAATTGCACTCAGGCTTGGAAGAAGATTCTAAGCAGTCTAAGGCTGGGAACATTAATTAAAATGAGCATAGTCGTGATAGAAAAGATTTACTCTAGTACAAAAGAAAAAAAATCGCCTTCTTCATGGCTTTTATCTCTTCTGATTAAACAGGGATCAGTCGCTTGTTTAGCCCTGAGTTTCTCAAAGTAGAGTTAAATAGATATCAATGGCAGATTTAAGCCAGGTAATTAAGAAGGAAAAAAGGGATCCCAGGGGAAAAAAGAGATGAAAAAGAAAGGGAATTGGGGAGAAGAAAGCAAGGGAGAAGAGAGAAAGAATGGAGAGAGGCAAAGTACAATTAATAGTTGTTTTCTGTGTATATTTAGTGATGACAGTTGTATAGTCTGTCTTCCCTTATATTCCAATTTTATCAGATATTGGGATATTTAATATTTATTGGATTTTTACAATGTCCTGGGCACCATACAGAATAGAGACATATTCCACACAAAACCTTCCATTCAATAATTCTTTATTTACCAGGGGCAGACTGCTGTCATATTAATTACTGGCAAGGTTTGTCATTTAAATAATTTTGCTTGTAGTAGTGGATTCTTTTACTAATTCATGCATGCCCTCTTACTTTCTCTCTCTTGTGAATACTTGAATGCATTTGCAAGTGGGTAGAACATCTACTATAACATATACCAAAACTAATTAGCTCACTGGAGAATTGAACCCAAAACATTTAGCTTATTAGTAGAGTTCTTTGACCAGTTGCAGCCAACTAGTGGCAGATTACATGAGTCATACATGCTATATATACAGAGTGGAAAAACATCTCAGGAGCTTTTATTGGTGACTTTCTATAGTGTAGCTTTTCCCTTTAGATTTAGTTTTATTTTTGATGTTTTTATTTGCAATGTTTCCACCCTTTCCCTCACTACCTTCCCCGTACCCCCAACAAAGCATTATGAAAATTCCAGATCAGTTTCTAGACTTAGATTGAGAGAATATCAGAGTCCTCACTCACTCCATTTGATGACTTGTGGAGTATTCTTACATGTTTGAGGAGGATCTTAAATGATAGAAGCCAGGAAATAATAATACTTTACATAATTATAGAGCCTTAAACATTTTGTAGGTACTTGCACATTAACTTTTTTTATCCTCAGTTGTAAGGTTTCCTACAGGTCGTTTGGGGAGTCTTTTATTCCTATTTTGTGGTTGATAGAACAAAATTTGGAACATTTAATTTAGGGTTTGAACTAGACTAAGTTTTAAAGTAGGAAACATTTGTCTTTAGCAGTCACAGATTCCATTCCCCCCCCCCCCCCCCGCCCCAGTGTTTCCCTTTCCTTCATATGTCTACTATCCTCATGATCTCTCCTTTTTCTATCAAAACTTACTCTCAGAAAAGGATTGGATTTACTTATACCTTAGTGTGGGTTTAAGCCTTGTGTCACTCCTGTCAGACATTCGTATTTTAAGCTTTGTTGCCAATTATCATTAATTTTGGAATGAAAGACCTTTTCCCCATTAAAGAAAATCTAGACATTCTAAATTATGTGTAGCAGATCAGACTATGGCACTGATTGGCTTATCTTTGTCTGGAGTGTACAGGGAATCTACCAGGCTGAGGACTGAAGGAATGTATGCATAGATATTTTTAGTTTAATCTTCATTAGTAACACTTTCTTAAGACTATACAATCAACAAGACAATGAACCCAGCCCTGATTTGTAGTAATTGCTGATTTCTGAGGTGTAAATGCTCACATTGAATATTTTACAATCAGCTCTTACTCATCTCCACATAAAGCCTGGTCTGGGTAAGTGACACATTTTAGATCACATATGTAGTTAATGATTCTAGCAAGACTAGAATCCAGGTCTCTGTTCCCTCTCTTCTTTTTGCTATCTTGGACGTATAGATGTATGTATGCATATAGGTATATCAGAAGTTTATATTCCTATCTCTGTATTAGGAATACTTTAAAAGTCAGGAAGGGCCTGTAATTAGTAGAAGTGAACAGTAAAACACACCCCAGAAAATTAGGGAAAGGAAAAACAGTTTGGAAAAACATTAAAGTATCACATGGAGAAAAAAAAAACTCACCTAAACTATCATAGGGAATTTTAATCAACCCAGTATCAGTCCACATTTTTGTATAAATAAGGAGACAAAGAGGCATCATTCCCAAGGCAAGCAGGGTAGAACATGTTGTCATGCTGATACTGTGAAGAAATGAACACATTAATTCAAATTTTTTTCTCCCTTTTTCCAATTGAAAGTCTCCCCACCCCCCACCCCCAGACCCTGCAATTCATATTACAACATCAGTAGCAGTAGCATCCTTTAGTATGCAGAGATATTTACATGGCATGCAGTTCTTTGGTGTTCTCGTGCCTCTCTGTTATACTGCCTCTTCTCTTTACTCAATCACTCCTTCACCAGGAACATGTTTTACTGTCATTTGTCGCTAAGGAATCAGCTAATATCAGCTTAACCCTAGTGAGATCAAAGACCACTTCGAACAAACAAGGGTCTCTTGGCCCCTTCTCCCCGGGATCTTTCTCAGAGCAGTAAAATGATTGTAGTTCATATCAATCAAGATTCTTGTGGTGGTTCAGTATTAGATCATTCCACATTGGTATCAAAGGAGTTTTCTGGATGCCTTCCTCCCCTTCCCACCCAGGAGGAGAATGACCTTCTAACAAAGCATATTATATTTTTAAAAATTTGCATTAAACAAGAGTAGAGAGAAATAATTGTTAATGATAGCCTAAGCTGGAAAGGAATTTAGAGATCATCAAATCCAATCTCTTAATATTATAGATGAGGAAACAGAGGCCCAAAGACTAAGTAACTTGCTCAAAGTTACACAAGGTCTCCACTGATAGATCCAGTATTTAGTGTTCTGATGCCAAATAGGGCTCTTTTCATATCCATATGGGACTTCTATTGTATTACCTCATATTCCTTGGCCTTATTTCCTTTTCTGTGAATTGAGGGAGTCAGCTGAACTGATCATTATCTTTTTTTTTTTGGAGGCAATTGGGGTTAAGCAACTTCCCTAAGGTCACACAGCTACTAAGTATGTGAGGCTGGATTTGAACTCAGGTCCTCCTGACTCTAGGGCTAGAGCTCTATCTGTTGCACCACCTTGCTTTGGTGCTTGCTATTTGTCCTTCATTTTTGAAGAGGACCTAGCTGCCCCATTAATGTCCTTTCAAGTTCTAGGTTCTTTTATGCTATGATCATAAAAGATAAAATTGAAAAGAATTGAATTATAGTTACAAGAAATATCATGTAAGATGAAGTTTCAGACCATTGATATCTGACATTGAATAAAGCATGGTTTCTTTGAGCCATAGTGGATACTGTACTGTTTCCCAGTTTCATTCCAGGGGCAAGGCCAGTGGCAGACTTGGTCAGGGACTAGAGCTAATTATAGTGTTATTTTTGTGCTGTGATACTAGCTGGTTGACTTTGTCTGGGCAGGCTTAGTCTATATTGGTGATATCTCATTGAGGGACATCAGAAGCAAGAGGAGGACCATTACAGACACAACTTCAAGTTATCCAAACCACAAGATAAGAAGCTGGCAAGGGCTTGAGGCGTTTGGTGTTTCCAAGATCTCTAAGTGAAGGTTAACAGAATGGCAATGTCAGAATCCAAGGGCCAAAACAGGAAAATATGGTGTATAGTCAAGCAGAAATTTAAGAAAAGTGGTGTCCCAACAGGTTTGAGCTTATTCAAAGAAGTATGAGTTCAACTTGCCTCATTCAATATGATGATCTCTGTTGGCCTACTTCTGAGCTAATTGGCTAATTCTCTTGATTTTCTGAATAAGCTTCAGCTGTGGACAGCTAGCCTCCACGCCAGCACTCAGTATCTTGAAAACAGCTGTGTTTTGGTGGTGGCATATGGTTCCGTAGAAACTTAAAGCATGCATTTCCAGGAGAGTAAGGGTGTAGTATTACTTTTGCCAGGGGCATTTGTATTTTAAAAAGGAGACATTGGATAACATTCAGTGATTCCAAGAAGACCTAAAACCCTTCAAAGACCAAATAAATAAATCTTTAATGATAGAATTTCAGGTACTTGTTGGATAATGAGGGAAATAATTTTGGACAGAGGGGTTTTTTCCTGAGACTCCTGAGATCTCAGCACCCCTTTTTAAGGTCAGTCATAGGAGGATGTATGTTTTTGTGAGAAAATGTGCATATGTGCCTGAGCAATGAAAATTTGCCATGAGATTTGTGTTGCTGCATCATTGCCATGCAGCCTCTGGTATACCATAATAATTATTCCTAAAGGCTAAACTTTCACAATTGTTATTACAGATATCCAGATTCAACCATTTCATTACAGTAGTGTTGTATACTACTAATAATTCGAGTTCATATGGAAATTACTAAATACTTCCTTACAATGGCCTCATGAAATTAGGGATTGCAAGTATTATTATAATCACTTCACAGGTGAGGAAAATGAGACTCAGAATGGTTATATGACTTGCCCAGAGTCATACAGCTGGTGAGGATTGGAGCTGAAATTTACATTTCTTCTGGCTCCAACTCCAGAGCTCCTTCCACTTTACTTGGAACAGAGCCTCTGACAGTAGCAGGTATTCTAAGAATATTAGGAATGATAACAGGTTCCATTCCTCTATTGCTGTGGGACGCAAGAAGATAGCAAAACATGGTGGCTATAGAAGGCTGCCATATGTGTCTGTGTGTGTGTGTTCATATGTCAAGGAAAAAAGCTAAATGTTTTGCATTAAGGTAAGCAAAATGATGCTTCTTTTAAGTAAAGATGAGCATTTTTGTTTTAATTCACTTATGCATACATAGTGCTCAATGGAAATATTTTCTAAAAAAAAGAGGGAGAAAGAGCTCTCTTGGAATAGTGACTAGGAAGCTGTTCATAAAAAACTTGAGTTCAAGTCTCACTTCTGATATATCCTGGTGAAATGGTCCTAGACAAGTGACTTAGCCTTGCAACACTATAGGCTATATTCTAAGGATGTAAGTTTCAGAGAAAGTTCAGATTGGATTGGTGGAGGGAGTTTCTTCATCTGGGAATTCCTTATGCATCTGATATCACAGTTCTAGCCCTCTAACCTAAGGGGATGTGCAGGATAAAGGCAAAGGATTGTTCAGGAGGATGGTCCTCGCTGCTTGTTCATTTTTAGGGATAACTTTCTTCTTCATTCTTTTATTGGTTTCAGTTAAGAATAATTTGACAATAAAACATTGATTGGTAGTAAGAATAATATTAGCAGTATTATAGAAAAAGAAACCCATCATCAATCCTGCTGTTTCCTTGAGTGACGTAATCTATTGTGGTGGCAGGACAACTACATTTATATATGAAATATGAAAAAAAAAGAAATAAGGAACTTTCAGATATTTTTTTCTATTTCTCTGCTTAGTTTTTTTTTGAGCTTTCTTTTCGGGTGTCTTCAACTCTGAGTTGTTATTAAGAGGCTTTGTAGCAAAAGTGTGGAGGGACTTGAAGAGGATAGAGCAATACTTGCAGATCTGTGGGAAGGAAGAAATGGGAGTGGGAGAAGTCATCAAATATGTTATAATTTTCAAGATAGAGAAGAGGGTAGGATGAGATGGGTCATGGGGGAAAAGAAAATGACAGGAAGCTAGGGAGAGAGTATATTGAATAAAATTGTTGCAGAAATCTACGAGGCACAAATGAGGAACTTTATGGAAGAGAGGGCTTGCCTGAATGACAGGAGAAGAATTCTTTCTTTTCTTTTCTTTTTTTTTTTTTTTCAAAGAAGTAATTTGAATAGCTGCAAGGGTGGTGGTAGTGGTGACAGGCCAGAGGGGAGGTTGACAGTTCAAAGCTACCTGTGAAAGTAAGAGATAAAAGAAAAAAAAAAGAAGCACAGCACCATAGCTCTATTAACTGTTAGCTAGCAAGTCTGTGGAAAGAAATAAATGGAGAGAGAAAAATAAGGATCTGTTTGTATTGAAGGAAGAAGTAGACAGAAGATGAAGATGGTGGTCATTGTGTTTGAAGTAGAAAAGCAGCAGCTAAGTGAGGATCTTAACATGTGTAGACCAGGGAGACATGAGGGAAAAAACAGAACAATAAAAACAAAAAGGGAAACAAAACAATATAAAATGAAAAATTAAATATGGAGAACGAGGAAAGGAGCTAGCACCAACAGTTAGAGTACCTAATTTCTTTCTCTCTAAAACTACCGTCTATCTATTCTACATTTATCTTGTGTGTACTGATTTTTATCTGTCATCTCCCCCATCAGAAAAGGGACTGGTTTTGCTTTTTCTTTATATCCCTAGGGCATAGTGTGGTGCTTGGTACAACAGAAGTACTTGAAAAATGCTTGTTTATTGGTCGATTAATGGACATTTATATGAATAATGTTGGCAAAAGTTGGTTTAGCATTGAAATTGGAGAGAAGGTCCTAAAGGATTAAAACAAAAGTAAGGTAGATGAGAGACGTATTGTCTTTGAAGAGAAAATGAAACAGAATGCAAAATTCCACAAAAAAGTGGAGAGAGTGATAAGGAACAATAGAAATTGATGGATTGGTCCATGGAAGGAAGGGGAAGAATAAATCAAAGGTAGGGGTCAAAGGAAAGGCTACAAAAACATAGGTTATCCAAAGGGGAATGAAGATGAAGGAAAAAAAGAGAATAGTATTCATCAAGTGTAGAAAGTGTCAGTTGGTATTTAAGTCTTTCTTGATTTCTCCAACTAAGGGAAGCTAACCTTCTGTCCTCTTTTACACCCTTTCCCTCACTACTTCAACACCTAGCAAGGCAGGGAAGACATATGACTGGTCCTAGGTGTAAATGCCAGGGAAGGAACAAGGCTGGCATGATTTCTTCTGAAAACTAGAGAAGAAAAAATTTCCTTGCCATCCCAAGCTGGTTGCAGACTTGCTTTTGCTCCCAAACTTAGGAATTTACCTGATAATAGAGTGGATGCTCTGGGACAGTGAGTTAGAAGAAGAAATATTAGTGAATTGTCATTTAGGAGTAACCAAGTTCTAAGATACTCAGAAATCACAAGTCTATGATGTTGAGAAGTCTTTGGGGTTTTCAGTGACGTATATTGGGCCAATATTCTGACTTGCATTTCCCCTAAGTGATACCATCACACAATGCTAATCAACTATCTCCAGCTAACTTTAGATATCCTTGAAACAATTTCCATTTGGATGAAATCTCTAATAGTTTGCCATTTCCTGAAGTCAACTCCAAGTCATCCAAACTACTATATTCTATCATATGCAGATATATTTTTCAAATAGGACTTTTACATTTTTCACAAGTGCTAGTCTGAAGCTTAGGCTTTAGAAAAGGCATTTGACTCAAATGTGGAGATGAAGGTTTCAGATGACTCTACCATGAAGCCATGGTCTAGGGAGCAGCAACCTTTTGACTGGATCTTTGCATTTCTTGTTACAAACTGCAAGTCAGGAGAGGAACGCAAGTATCAGGAAGCACAGAAGGTCACAGAAGAGATGGCTTGAATACAGAAATATGAAATTCTAAGATGAATTTTCTTTCTGAATGAGTGACAGTAAAAACTCAATTTTTCATTTCCCTCAGAGAATGAATTTTCTGGATAGCTTAAGGTTATTCCTACATAGTGCCCCATAGGGGAAAGAATGCTTGGGACATGGATTTTAACTGCAGGCCAAACACTTATTAGCTATATGTCCAAGGGCAAATCGCATTACTTCTCTTAGGCTCAGTTGCCCTGAATGTAAAAGAGAGTTAATAACACATGTATTAAATATAATAATATTTTGCATTGCTTACCTGATTCAGTTGTTCTTTGGGGTCAACAAGCCTGATAATTTTAATTACCCTATGTCCAGTTTCCTTTGTTGTTGTTCTTAACTCTTTCAGTTTCTGCCCACTTGTTTCTGCATCACTTCACACATCTTCCCATGCATCTCTGCATTCCTCATATTCATCCTCCTTTGTGGCACAGTACTATTCCATTACATTCATATGGAACACCTTATTTACCTGTTCCTCAATTAATAAACAACTTCATGTCCAATTCTTTGCTACCACCAAAAGTGCTGCTATGAAGATTTTGGTGTATACAGAGATTTCCTTTCAGTCCTTCACCTCATTGAATTTTGTGCCTAATAAAGGGATTATGGTCATTTCAGCCATTTTGTAGTATAATTTAAGATGATTTCCATAATGCCCAGACTTTCACCATCAGTATATTAGTGTGCCTCTTTTCACAGTTCCTCCAAAAGTGATTATTCCAGGGATAGTAAGGTGGTGAAGTGGATAGAGCTCCAGCCTTAAAAGTCAGGAGAACCTGAGTTCAAATCTGACCTCAGACACATAACACTCACTAGCTGTGTGACCTTGGGCAGGTCACTTAGCCCCAATTGCCTCACCAAAAAAAAAAAAAACCCAAACCAAAAACCAAAAAACCTTCCAAAAGTGATTATTCCCATCTTTTGGCATCTTTGCAAATTTGTATATGAAGTGAAATCTTAATGTTGTTTTAATTTTCATTTCCCTTATTATTAGTGATTTGGAAGAATCTTTCAAATGCTTGCTAACAGTTTATAATCCTTTTGAGAATGTTTTTTTTCATCTTCTTTCCATTCACCATCCCCATAACTTTCTGAAACAAAGTTCCCCTGCCTGGCTGCTACTCCACTCTGTGCATTGTCTCCTCTACAAAATGTAAGCACCTAAGGAATAGAGCTGTTTTTGCATTTGTATTTGTATCTCCAGGGCTTAACATGGTCCTCCACACTTAATACATGCCTTTTCATCCTTTCATCAGGGGATAACTTTTGGTATTACATATTTGTGTTAGTTAGCTGGAATATCTTGGTTATCATGCTTATCAGAGATATCTGAATTGTTAACAGATTTCTTCTTAATTTCCATTTTAAAATCTTTTACTAAAATTATGGCTAGAACATGTTACATAAGCATGCTATAATTTCTTTTAAAATATCGATATTTAAAATTTTCACATTAATATCATCCCTTCTAGGAAACTAAATTATTTTCTTAAAAATATATAGCTATCTCAGAAATATTTGATTAGGTTGTATGAAACAGTTACTGGAAAGGGGTGGTCATCTCAATAGTTATACAAATAAAGTATCCTAAAAATTCCTATATAAAAGGTGGCTAAAAAAAGATGAAATATTTCCCTTTAACGAGATGGTAAATGCTTGCATTGGAAAACTGCACTATTTCAGAGAAATATTACAATTTTCTGGGACAGCAGTTATATTTGTGCTAAATCTTCATTCTCACGCAAATATACTCCAGTCAGGCTAGATTGGTTAAGATAACTGACTGGTTTCCAGGCCAAACTGGTATCGAGACATCTTGCTATAGCAGCTTCACATGCAAATTAGACATGCATATAAATTGAACATACTAAGAAATTCTGTAAGAGAGGTAGGCCTTGTATTTCCTTATTAGAGAAAAGAGGTGGGACCTGAAGAAATTGATTTATTTCTCACCCAAGTTTCGGGAGGGAGTGATGACAGAGCTGAGAGGAAGGAAGACAAAGCTTGTGGAATTAGCTCCCAGTTTCTTCCTCACTTGGCATTTTGTCCTTGGTATATACAGTTATACATGCTACAGTTTCTGCTTTTTGAGATCTACTTCATACATTTCTCAGTCATCTCTCCCGACGACAGTAGCTGGTGATTAACAGGCCTGATTGCCTACTATATGGTATTGATAAGCTCACATTACTTTAACACCTAGATGTTTTGTGTAAATGGATGTTTTTCAAAGGGAATGGTGTGTGTTGAGATACAGAAAAATAAGTTTTTGCCTATTCAAGCTTTTGACATTGAAATTCCTGATCTATTCACTCTATTGCCACATCTTATTTCTATTAGTTTTTTTTCCCAATGCTAGTTCAGACTGGAATATGATGAATTGAACAAATATTGTAATTTATGTAACTCTGTGGGAAGCAGAGAAACCATTTTCTGTTTATTTTAGAATAAGGTAATCACAATTAAAATAGAAAGAAGCATGTTGCAGCTTCCCCTCCTTCCTCCAAAGAGCAGAAGGTCCATTTTTGCCTTGGATTTTACCTCCAAAGTTAAGACTAATTAACCCAGAGTCTATTTACTATCGTATCACAGTTTATTCTTAACAACTAGTTTAACTTAGTGTGACCACACTTTTTGTTCCCTATTACTGCTACCATCATTTCCCACCATTTTTGATGCTGAAATCTTTCACTGACTGAATCCTGTGGTTTGGAAAAGGTCTTTTCCTTCAGAAACTATGATTTCCCTTTCAGTGATAAACAGTAATTGACTGGGTTTTCACCAGTGACAACAGGTTTAATACGATGATAACAGAAGAATAGCTTCTGAAGCCTGTTGGCAGCACAAAGGAAATGCATGTGTCTTGACTTATTTGATTTTTTAATCATGAGTTAGATCAATGGTAGATTCATTGAGTTCAGCCTGTTACATATAGACTTCTAAAATGACAAATTCAATGTGATTTCAACAAAACAATGCTTGGTTTCTCTTACCTCAGGTCCATGTCACCATCAGTCCAGTAAGCCAAAACATTGGAAGATGTTCCTCCTGGACAACAGCCCATAATGAGCACAACAACAGCCTGGACAGGGAGGATGTCAAAGGCCAATGAGAGGGTAAAGCCTATGAGGGGCATAAGTCCAAACTGGCAAAGGAAGCCCACAAATATGCCCCATGGTCTCTTAATGTGAGCCCAGAATTTCATGATTTCCACATTGCAACCCATGGAAAACATCACTAAAGCCAACATGGTGGTAAGAACAGTACTTAGAACAGTACTTAGAATTACGTTGTAATTACTGTCATCCAACACACAGGAGTCTTCATCACAAATAGTAGCATTAGAAGAGCAAGTAGAAGCATTCATTGCTGTTGTGGTTGGCCAAGTAGAAGAATCCATTGCTGTTCTGGTAGTTGGTGATTAGATCTACAGAAGCTGTTTCATGAATGCTGTCTGTGCTGTATGCTGGGGCAAAAGGAGTGCCTCCTGCAACTACTTCAAACTTTTAAACCTTTGCTTACACGTGTCATTTGGCATCCTATTAAAAAAAAAACACCACAAACCAATCTCCCTGAGAAACAATAAAAACGCAATAAATACCTGAACTTCATGAATGCTAGTTTCAAAACTTAGCTTATTATGACACAGCACAAATTATGAATCATAAAATTCCAGAAAAAATTATGGGTTATGGATAGAGAATTTCAATTAATCATTTATTGGGATGAGATTGAACTATGTCATGTTAAAAAAAAAGTTATGTTAATGTTTAATGGTAGAAAGTTTTGCTGAATGTAGCTTTTATTTATTTATTTATTTGTTTGTTTTTTGATGACACTTGAAAGGAACCCAACACAGGTTGTTTTCATATTGTAAATCTAAATCTTGGAAACTTTTTGGCCCCATTTTTCTGCATACCTAAGGGCTACAACAGCCCTGACCAAGATATAGAAAGGGCTATGGTGAATGTAGTCAGACTTCTGAGAACCACTCTGAATTCCGGATAGGTGTGATAAAGGCAATAAAATTATTTAAAAGGATGAGTCTAAGAGAGTTAGGTGAAAGTAGTAGAATCTGATTTTTATAGAGTCATAGTAAGAAGACAGAAAGTGAAAGGATAATTGAAAAAGGAATAAAGAATTCAAATTTAACAAATATTCTTTGAATACCCTGCAAAGCACTGTGTGATGTACAAGATGAGACAAAGTTAAAATTAAGCATTAAACTTGCCCTGGTGAAACATATAGACTCCTAGGAGTTAACATATGCACAGAGATAATTAAAAACTATAGCAGTACATGTTAAATGAGTTAGAGAGGTGGGAAACCAAACCATATGAAAGGTTCAAGGCTGAAAGGTCAGAACTGACTGACTATAGAGATTGGGGAGATGGTATTGGAGGAGTCTTTAAAGGATGGAATCAATGAAATAGGAAAAGAAGAGGAAAGATATTCCAGGGACAATGTAAACCAGGGGTGGGGCATCTTCGGCCTTGAGGCCACATGTGGCTTTCTAGGTCCTTGGGAGCAGCCTTTTGACTGAGTCCAAATTTTACAGACCAAATCTTTTTATTAAGGGAATTTGTTCTGTGAAGTTTGGATTCAGTCAAAGGGCTGCACTAGAGGACCTAGAGGATCATGTGTGGCCTCAAGGGTGCAGGTTCCCCACCCCTGGTATAAGCAAAGGTATGATAACTAGAAAGTTAATAATATATTCCTGGGGAACTGTACAATCAATTTGACCAGAGTGCATGATGGACAGTAATAGTGCTAAAGCTAGAAGGATAGGATGTTGCAATATTATGGAAGGCTTGAATGCTAGCCTAAGGCATTTGAAATTTATTCGGATTGGAGAAATGAAAAGGGGGAGTCAGGGAGAACTGTTGGGAGGTTATTGGAATATTCCAGGTAATTGGTAAAGAAGGGTTGTACTAGGGTATTAGTAGTGGGATTAGAGAGGCAGGGACAAAGTGACAAATGCTACTGAGCTAGAATTGAAAGAACTTGGTAACTGATTAGCTATGGGATATGAGGGAAAGAGAAGAGGCAAAGATAGCACCAAAGTTTCAAGCACAGGTTATTTACTAAATGGTTGGTGCCGCTGGTAAAAATGGTGACATCAGACAGAGGTTAGGGATGACAGATTAGCTCATTTTAGAATATATTGAGTTTGAGGAGATTGTGGGATGCCTGAGGGCAGTCATCACGTTTCACCTAAATCTTCTCTGAGCTAAACAATCTGTTCTTCAATGCCATGGTCTCTAGTCCTTTCATAATCCTGCTCATCTGCTGCTAATCTGCTCCGATTTGTCAATATTCTTCCCAAAGCATAATGTACAGAATTCAATAACATAGTCAGGATGTTACCAGGGAAGGGATAAGGAATAGGGACTGGAACTGTGAATTCACCGGTATATAGAACTTCCAGGTGAGGAAATTCCTGCCAGTGAAAGTCGGTACCTTCTCACAATTTATAATCTTAAAGAGTTGTCTATACCAGTGAGAGGTTAAGGATTTGCCAGGGTCACAAATCCAGTATGTGGATCTTGAACCCAGCCAAGTTTTTCTGGCTTTGAGACCAACTCTCTCTTTCCCATATCACACTGACTCTCTAGGAAGAACAGGATTCAAAAAAATGTTCAACTAGGAGAAGGTTTAATAACTACACTTTAAGTTGAACAGGCAATCGTAATTACAGAATTTCTACTGTGTAGCACCATAGTAGGTGCTGGGTACCTTAGATTGATATCCTATGCAGCTCTTTCACACTCCTGAGATCTGAAAGTTAGGGTCAGCATGAAATTCTTATGCCATAGGTGATTTACTAAGGAGAACTTTCAGCCTTTTAGAGAAGGAATATTTTGCATATGTACAACTTGCAAATGAGTAGTCTGCTTTTACTAGACTGAGTGCTACGTTCTTATTAAAAAAAAAAGCTGCAAGTACAATCCATTTCTAATTTTCACATTGTTTTTACATAAATTTGCATGTGGAACCCAAGAGGCTCTAAGTCTAAGTATTGGAGTAAATTAAAATTGATAAACACATCATTAGAAGTTGCATTTCAGATTCTGTCTTTAGACCGTGATCTTTGGAGTGTTATAAGTTTTTCAAAAATCACTTTAATTACATCCCAAATTAGGAGAAATGGGTACATAAATAAGTAGACATATGATAGTCTGGGCATGAGTAAACACTTCATATTACCTAAACTTTTCCTGACCTCTGTGGTCTCCCTAAATGTGCAGAATCTTCATAAAAGCAGCTGCCAATTTCTACTCATCACTGCCTTGCTGAGGTTAAGTGCTGTGGTCTGTCCTCTTCGGGGGAAGAAACTGCTGAAATGCAACTTGGTATACTTTATTGTGAATTTCTCATAGAATTATACCTAGGTGGTCTTATGTTTACCAGAAAGGAGAACTGAGAGACAGAACATGATACCATGCAAATGCATGGGTGAGGATCAATGAAAGGGAAAAATAAAAGCGATATTATGGAAGGGGTATGCCATAGACTACCCTTGCAGAAGGAGAAGGTGGATGAAGAGTTTGAGAAATAAGACCATAAACCTTGTATGGAGGTATGACACTGATGTGGTAGGTGGGTGTTGGGGGAATGTTGACTATCTGGATATCTCTTGGAACTCTCTCTACTAAAAGTAGAACAGTTAACAAATTCTTGACTTGTCTTAACAATTTATCCTTTTCTTTAAAAGATGAATAAAGTATCATGGGGAACTGATATTTCAGACCCTGACTCAATGATTAGGAGGAATAGATTGCTAAAGTAGAAATGATAAGAATTTAAGAAGAAATGATTGCTCATTCTTAGAACTTTGAATAAGAAAAGGAAGGGCAGCTAGGTGGCAAAGTGCCTGCAGCTGGGAGCACCAGATCTGGAGTAAGACTCATCTTTGAGTTCAAATCCAACCACAGACACTTCCTAGCTCTGTGACCCTGGGCTAGTCACTTAACCCTATTTGCCTCAATTTTCTTATTATAAAATGAGCTGAAAAAAGAAATGGCAAAGCACTCCACTATCTTTGCCAAGAAAACTCCAATGGGGTCCTGAAGAATCTGAAATGGCTAAACAACCACAAAAAATAATAGTCAGTCCTTTAGTTTGCAGTTCTCTGTGTAACCACTAAAAATACTGCTATCAATATTTTTTGTACACATGGCTGCTTTCCCTCTTTGTTCATTCTCTTTGGAATATAAGTATGCTACTGAAATAGCTGGGCAAAGTTTGATAACTTTTTGGTCATAGACCAAAATTGCTTTCCAGAATGGTTAGACTAGTTCACAATTTTACCAACTATACATTAATATACCTGTTTTCAAACAGGCCCTCCACCATTTGTTATTTTCCTTTCTTCTCCATTCTGTCATCTGATAAGTGTGAGGTAGAATCTCAGAATTGCTTTAATTCGAATTTCTTTCATTGTTAATGATTTAGAGTGGTTTTTTTTTTGAAATGGCTATGAAAGTTTGGATTTTTTCCTTTGAAACCTGTCTCCATATACCATATTCTTTGGCCACTTACAAGTTGGAGAACAGCTCTTATTCTTAAAAATTTGAATCCATTTCCTATATTATCTTAGAAATCCTATCTTTATCAGAGGAATCTGCTTCAAATATTTCTTTTCCAGTTGCCCACTTCTCCCTAATTCTAGCTGCATTGGGTTTTATTTGTGTGAAAATGTTTTATTTTTATTTAATCAAAATTATCCATTTTACCTTCTGAAATCCCTTATCCTTTATTTGATTATAAACTGTGCCACTATCCATAGATCTGAAAGTTAATTTGTTCTTTGCTCCTTTATTTTGTTTATGATGTTATCCTTTATGTCTAAGTCATATACCCATTTGGAGCTTATATTGGTATACAGTGTGAGTTATTGATTTTTAACTAATTTTTGCCAGACTTCTTTCTAGTTTTCTCAGGTGTTTTTTCTTTAAATCGAATAGTGAATTCTTACCCCAAATGACCGTGATTTTGGTGGGTTATCAAATACGAGGCTATTATAGTCATTGATTTCCTTCCGTACATTGTGTACCTAATCTATTTCATAGATCAGCCCTTCTTTTTTCTTAGTCAGTATCAAATTATTTTGATGATTATAGCTTAGATTTTTAAAGCCATATTGAAAAAATGGATGCAACTATAAGAAACTGAGGATGAATAATACTTAAAAAAGGATGGGTCTATAAGGATGATATTTGAGTGCTTAAGTTCAGAATAAGCTAAGGCTGCTGTGTTGGTGACAACAGTAAGATAAAAAGAGGAGTCAGACCATTGTTTGGAGTGAAAAAAAAAAAGATAATGAGTGATAGAGAGATGTCAGAATTATTCCATACAGAGTTATGGTCATGTCAGACTGGGTCAGAGTTTTTTTTTGTTGGTTTTGTGCTGTTCCATACTTTCCCCTCTCAGTGACTTAGATGAAAGTATAGATGGTATGCTTATGAGAATTTTCAGATAATACAAAATTGGAAAGATAGCCAGCAAGTTAAATAGCAAAGAAAGACTTAAATTCTCAATAGGTAGAACAATGAGATTTATCCAATAAGATGATATTTATAGGTGT